AACTTTTGCGTCCTTGTAAGAAACTTAGCTGGAAATTCATTGGTCCTTTCCGGGGGCGTCGAATTATAAATGATGTTGCTGTAGATGTTGAACTGCCTAAAAATTTGAAGTCTTTGCATTCTGTGTTTCACATGAGTCTGTTGAAGAAGGACACAGGCCAAGGCAAATGGAGGCCTGCACGTGACCCCGCTCCTCCTATCATGCTCGATGGGGAGGAGCATTTTGAAATCGCTGACATCTTAGATTCCAGAATTAAACGTGGTAAATTATGGTATCTCATCCGGTGGGTGGACTTCGGACCCCAGCACCAAGAATGGGTGGAAGAAGGGGATATTCGGGCCCCTTACATGCTCAGAGAGTTTCACAAAAGGTTCCCGGGCAAACCGGGAGGTCTCCCGCCGAATCCGGGAGGGGGTGGATAATGTGTATTTTTGAGGGGGCAGTATGTCAGCTAGCTGCCATTGTATCTGGTGTTACCTGCTTAACACGTCTTGTGCTCTTCCCCCCCCCCCTAGTTCCTGTAGCTTCATTATGCTTCTCTGTACTTTGCGGAACTGGCCAAGGTCATGCAGCTGGTGGTGGGAGTCGGTGCTTAGCTCAGCTTGTTATGGGTATCTACCCTGTGACCTGAACCTGTGTTGATTGTACTGAACTGTTACGTTCCCATGAAATGGGCGCGCATTTCCAAGTTCTATTCCCGCCAGCGGGAACTGGGCTCATTGGCCCTAACCTGGTTCAAATCCCTTTATTATGTTATACCTGTGTATTGGTAGTCATTCCTAACAATGTCCTTCTTCCTGCTTGAACCATCACTTTGAAATAAACCTTGCTTTGAATCAAACGTGGAGTTATTTCGAATGCCTGGGGATCCAACACTGCCCATCTTGATCTATGGGTAAAGAAGTGCAAGTTCTAGTTTAAAAACACTTCACTGCATTCTGCAGAGTATTCAGCAGAATGACCACATAATGTCCTTAGACCTTCAAGATGTTTACCTGCCTATTCCACCTCCCACACAGTTCTTCCTTTTTCGATTTTCAGGGCCAGCATTTCCAATACCAGGCCTTACCCTTTGAGCTGACATCTCCAAGGGTGTTCGCCAAGATCTGGGTAGTTCTATTAGCCTAACAAGGCATCCATCTTTATCCTTACTGGACAATGTCCTCCACAGAGCCTAGGAGGCAGAGGTGAGCTAGACGCCAAGTCCATTATGCAGTCTCTTCAGGCACATGGCTGCCTGATTAATGTGGTAGTGATGATGGATGATGATAATAATGTCCCTCCAGGGACATAGTCCACTTAGAGACCTGGATTCAGATGAGGATGGCCAAAGTGTTTCTACCTGCAAAAAAGTACGAAAAATGGTTGGAAGGGGTGAAAGAAACCTGGCAGAGGTCAGTGGACCTCATGCACTGGTTGACAGTACTGGGAGTGAGGATGTAGTCCATAGATCTGATTCCTTGGGCCCACTTCCATGCCAGGCCTTTACAATGGACTCTTCTCCCTTATCAGAAGGGTACACACACAAAAAGGAAGCACAAACAAGAAAGGATACTGCCCCCCCCCCCCACAAAGAAGTCACTAAACTAGGGGTATTTGCAACCAAATCTGACAAGGGGAGTCAGTTTCCTCCAGCCTCCTTACCTGATGGTAGTTATGGTCACCAGCAGTAGGGGCTGGGGAATACACTGCAAGGCTCAGATTGTCCAAAGCAGATGGAGCCTGTTGGAAGATATGAACAGTACGGACTGGCTGGAACTTGGGGCAATCAGACAAGCACTGTGTGCTTTCCAAATCCTATTGAGGAAGAAGTATGTGCTAGGGCACACAGTCCATACTATGGCGAAGGCGCACAGCAATCGGCAAGGAGGCACCAGATCAATGGTGCTCCTCCGTAAGTCCAAAATCCTGTTTGTTTAGGCAGGGGGAAAATTTGGTAGGTCTAAAATTGGAACACCTTTACGGTCTTGCAAACCACCAAGCCAACTGGCTGAGCAGGAAGGATTTAGATCCAGGAGAATGGAGTCTAAACAAAAAGATCTTCTAGCAACATCACACTTTGTTTCAGGATCGCTATCTTGGGTCTCTTTACATTCCACTATAACCAAGTTGCCAAATTTCTAACCAGTTTCTATGATTCCAGGGCAAAGGGCGAGGGTGCACGCACTTGCTGTTGACCCGGTGCTCTGCTGTACGCTTTTCTTCTAATGACACTGATCATCTGAGGCCTGAACAAAGTGTCAAAGGAGACAACTGAGGTGGTTTTCATATCTCCCTTCTGGGTTTCAGAGCTAGTGAAGATGTCAGTATCTCCACTGTGGAGATTACCAAGGGATGGGTTCAGCTTGTACAGGAATCCGTTGGACACCCAGACCCTATTTGACTCCAGCTGACAGCTTAGAGATTGAACTGATGGATTTAGTAGGACTGGGACTTCCAAGTTAAGTAGTTGATATCATGTTGCAACCCAAAATACCTGCTTCTATAATCATATGTGGCAGACATTCAAAAGTGGACCACTACCAAAAAGCTGGATGCACTGAAACTTACAAAGACATCATTCCCTTTCAGGGTCAGGGCAGCCTTTTGTCCATCACACCCCACTCCTCCACATGAAGCCTGCTGGGTGAGTTTGGGCTGGTCACAGTTCTCTTAGAACTCTGAGTCCCACCTGCCTCACAAGGTGCCTGCTGTGAGGAGAGGAAGGGAAAGGCGATTGCAAGCTGCTTTGAGATTCCTTAAGGTAGAGAAAAGCAACTTTTCTTCTTCTTTCACTGTTTCTAGCAAGATGTTTTGTTTTTTCCAGTCCAAGTTCATGCAATATTGCCTGGCTCTAGCTGTCCTCTTAACCCTTCTAAAATGAAAAGCAATGGAGTAAATTAATGATTTGATGCCTTTTGGGTTTGCTTTACAGTCAGAGCAAAGTGAATGGTGGTTTCTTCTATGGACACTCTAATAATTTTGTACTTTCTATAGTGCAATAATATTAATTCTGATAGCCACGGTTATCAGCATGTTCAGGCAGCGTGGCTTCTGTAGCATGGGGTGTACATAGTAAAAGGACAAAACTACAATCTATTGAATTTATAAAATTGGGATAGAAATCTCTGGAGAGTCTTGAGATTCAGCGAAAGTTAAGCACCAATAGGTGACAATGAGCATGCATTTGAACATTCCTACTGAAATCCAAGATATATTCAATGTGCTGAACTTTGACTGCCCTCCCCAAATGTTTCATTCTTGAGCAAGATGATTGAACACGTGATGGCTGGAGAATTGTATGCTTTCCTGGATAAGGCCATTTGTTTAGATCCTCTCCAATCTGTTTTTAGGCCTGATTATGGGACTGAAACAGCCTCGGTCATCATGGTGGATGACCTGCTCCAGAAGATGGACAAAGTGAGTATGACTGTTGATATTCCCGGACTTCTCAGAGGCATTTCACACCATATTCTTCTGGACTGCCATTCTGGGCTGGGAGGCACCATTTTGTGGTGGTTATGGATCTACCTGGAGGATAGGATTCAGAAGGTGATGCTGGCATTCTGCTGCTCAGCCCCATGGCCTTTGGGGTCATGCAAGGTTCCATCTTGTCCTCTATGCTCTTTAACAGCTACATAAGACTGCTCAGCAATGTCATCTGGAGATTTGGCCTGGCATGTCACCAATATGCAGATGACACTCAGCTCTATCTTGTGCTTCTGGCTGATCCCAAGGGGACTGTAGAAACCCTATACCAGTGTCTGGAGGCAGTGCTGGAGAAACTGATGCTTAATCTTGTCAAGATGGAAGTGCTACAGGTGACTGGATGGTTGGACCTAGGATTTAAGGTTTCACCCATTCTGGATGTAGTCACACTCCCCTTGAAGGAAGAGGTTTGTAGTCTGGGAATGCTCTTAGACCCAGGCCTGCTGCTGGATAAGCAGGTGGCAGCTGTGGCCAGGAGTGCCTTTTACCAGCTTTTACTGATAGCCAGCTGCAGCCTTCCCTGGGCAGCCTTCCCTGGCCACTATGGTACATACCATGCTTCCATCCAGATTAGATTACTGCAATGTAGTCTACATGGGGCTGCCCTTGAGAAACATTCAGAACATTCTATTGGTGCCTGTAGGATAACGAGTGGAGTGTGTCATAGGGGTTCATATTACTCCAGTGTTGGTTCAACTGGCTCCTGATTTGTTACTGAGTACAAGATGCTGGTGTTGACCTTTAAAACTACATGATTTGGCAGCAACATACCTGAAGGAGGACTTGCGCCCTTGTGAACCTGACCACTACGGTCATCTTATGTCTATATTTTAGCTCTGGCTTTAACTGTTCTGATTACATGTTTTGGAGGGGTTGTTTTGGATGGTTTTAAAATGCGGTTTTATTATATATGTTTTAATAGTTGCATTGGTGTCCTCTGTGAGAGCAGAAAGATTGTATATAAATTTTGTAAAATAAAGGACATATTCACATACAAGTTGAATAATGTATCCCTGAAGCCAGTCAAATACCAATTTATGAAAAAATGGGAACCCATTCTAGATTTCCTCACCACAGAACAATTTATTCCTACCTCCTGGACTCACGTCCAACAATGGTTGTGAATCTTAATCCCGCAATATGAATTAGGATATCACAATACACTGTTAGCGTCTTCCTCTTCTTCATTAGATTATTTTATTGGCTATTCTGTAGTTATAAAATATGTTGTTAGCTTATAGGTATAGTATTATTTTTTTCTTGTTACATACATTAATACAATCACACCGCAGTAATTGGGTTTTGGGAGAAGTTCTTACTGAACCTGTATCGGATATTGATTTTGTATGTTGTTGAATACCTAATGTATATTGGATTACTTCTTATTCTTAAAATATTGCATTTTTGATGTATTTTGAGAAAAATCAAATAAAATTTAAATAAAAAATAAAGGACATATTTATTAACAAAAACAGAAAAATGAACACCCAGAGATCCAGCTTGAAGTGCCGCCGTTGTTTATTTCTTTACCCTGCATTAGTTTGGCTTCAGCTGATTTCTTTAATACTAGTGGATATGGCCAAGTGTAGCACTGACAACTATGCATATTTCAATCTCCTCCCTTCCCTCAATTTTCAGTTCCATCCAGAAAAATCATTTTTTAATGCTATCAGTTTCTGGAAAGGTTACTTCTTTACTCACTAGTATTAATTCAGCGTGATTACAGATTTAGTAAAAGTAAGTTGTGCTATCTTTGTAGAGGAATAGATTACAGATTTAGTAAAAGTAAGTTGTGCTATCTTTGCAGAGGAATAGGCCAACATTTATTTAGAAACACAAACTCCCATAATTGAAGAACAGATCTGAAAAGGAAGCTTAGTGATCATTTTCCCTTGAATGCAAGACAGCTTAAATTAAAAATGGTCGCTGTGTCACTGGTTCCTGTGCTATTAGTCATTAAGTATGACCAACATGTTTATGGCTCAGAAACATATGCTGAGCTTGATCCAAATGTATCTTCTTCCCATAGAACATTTCCATAATAAAAAGGGTTCCCCCCCCCAATTCTCCCATTTCACTCAGCCTCCCCCCATCACACCCCATGCTAGCCCCTGAGGTCTCCCTTCTTTTTTCAGAGTATTTCAGAGAGCATAATGGGCTATACCTGGAAGAGGGAAGTAGGAAAGATTCATCCCATGGATTACAGGATTGCCACTAAGATGGATACTAGAACTTCCTTCCACCATGTTTTCATTCAGCATAGAAAGGCTTCCACTTCTCTGGTGAAAAAAGACTTAGTGGATAAGTCACAGGATCCAACCCATTCTCTTTAGCACTGGCATGCATGGTGATTGGAAATTAGTACAAAATAGATCAGATCATGGCTGCAGAATTTTGATGAGCCTCATTCACTTCAGAAGTAACATAGACAGACATAGTGCAATCACATTGCAAAGAGAGAGATTAAAGGAAGCAATACTGACAATATTTTACAGTTTTCCTTCCATAGCTAAGGTACACAGCATATTTAGACAAATGGTCATCATTATTGAAAGGTACAGCTTTGTCCAGGCCATATAAAAATGCATTAGAGGCATTCAGGTTTCATTAACACTACATTCCCTCGCTAATGGGAGACCAAGCTCATTGGTTTATTTTACAGTTTTGACAAAGATTTTCCAGAAAGCAGCCTTGTGAGTGCTTTAGAATTATTTCCCTCTGGAGCAGATGGCCATCTGTTATGATCTGTGAGAAAAGATACAATAAGATTCAGTTTCTTTGGGGAAAAAGCCAGTTTTTCATTCTTACCCCTGCCTAGCTAAACAGGAGGTATGAGCTCTTGTGTGACCAGCATCAATAATTTAATTGGCTACATTGTACCCATGCCTCCTACAGTGTAATCCTAAAGACTGTTATACTCTTCTAAGCTTACCGGCTTCGATCGTTTTAGAAGTAACACCGCCTAGTATTTCAGTGCTAGACATCTTACTATTTTCATCTTGGAGCAGCAGGTAAAACCCTGGCTAGTTTAACATCCTCACATACAACCTTAAAATTTATTGGAAAGTTAAATGCATACTAGGCCAGTCCCCAGGTCCCAGTGGGGGTTCCCCTGTTTTTTGGGGCTTCTGCCCCGAAACCCCCCCCCCCCAACAGCCAGGTCCGGGCACAATGTCCCCGATGTGATGATGTCGCCTGGAAGTGATGTCATCACATCAGGGATTTCACACATGACCTCTGGTTTGCAATGATCGCCTCGCAACATTGCTCATGTCACTTCTGGGTGACATCATCGTGTTGGTGATATCCCAGAAAGCCCCCCCCCCCCAATCCCCCTGTCAATGCGGCAAGGGGACCTGGCAACCCTAATGCATACATGTGCAAATTCAGCATTTATTAGGAAAAACACAAGCTGGAATTTCTCAAAAGAACAATACAGAAAATGCAAGATCACTTTTTGGCGAGCAAGCCTCCAAAACAAAATGAAACACGATTAAGACTGTTGAAGTAGACACAGCCTTGGAGACTGACTTGTTATTGTGGCACGAACTCATCAGTTGTGTTGGATGAAGGAAGGTCTTTCCTATGACAATTTATTCTACAATTAACCCTTTTGTTTTTAGGGTGCCCATCCTGGGTCTGTGCAGTAATTTTAAAATTTCTTCCCTCGCAACCATGAAAAGAATGTTTCCAAGACAAAGAAACAAAAACCAAGTTTCAGGAGCCAAATCCTGTGCCAGTTTTCATATTCTACACTGCCTAAAGCTACTTTTTAAAATTCTGGCTTCTTGTCCTACCTCCCTAACTATTTACTAAGATCTTACGTATATTCACAGAGAGTATAAAAGCATTTTTTTAAAATGAGAGTTTTTTACCTGCAACTTCCCATTGGCAAGAGTATAAGCTTTGTCCACCATCAACCTTCACAGTTTCCCCAGTTATATAGGAGGCACCCGGAGAGAGCAGGAAACATACCAAGGAAGACACCTTTCAAAGAATCAAGATGTTCACTTACTATGAAAATGACTGGGGGATCCATCTCTTCTAGACCACTCTAGCTATAAAGGCTCCTCAGACTAGCCATCACTGGCGACTAACTAACTACAGAGCATTCCCCACCAAGGTATTTAACTGAAACAGAAATTTGCCTCTTGGCATTTTACTGCCTACAAATGCTAATTAAGAGTTTCTATACTTCTTTAGTTAGGGAACTCCAACTACCATCACAAATAATCTCCATAACATAACAATTCTAAGAGCTGGGTATATTTTGTTTCATGAAACAGCTCTTCAGTGGGTGACTGGACTGTGGGTGAAAGCACCCCACAGTTAAGAGGAACATTTCTCTTGCCTGGGGCATGTTCAACATTCACATGGGCAACCACTCTCTCTTCCTCTGAGTAAAACATCCAACAAACTTTTTATCATAACTTGATTAAATTTTATTAGCACTGCCAGGAGACAGATAACATTTCTTTGGGATTAGATGTTGTCTTTTGACTATCAGTCAACTATCCCAATCCAAGCCCAAAAGTCATATTCTCCTCACCACCATCTGATTCTTGCCCACAGTTTATGTCCCAGTGCCTCAGTTTCAGCCATTTTATTTGTTCAGTCTGAACTAAGCCACTGCCGAGTGTAAAAAACAAACAAACACCTCCCCCCCACACACACAAAGAGAGAGTGAGGTGATGTTGATAAGAACCACCATCACCCACTGCATAGCCATGTCCCCTGTAACCACCTCCCATCTATTACATACAGCTGGGACTTATGCTTTGTGATAAACTGAGGGTGATGGGTTAGATCCAGCACAAAATCTCCACTTGTGCTAGCAGAAACACTAGAAAAAAAACCTTGGTGGCTGCTTGTGCTAAGTCAAACTTACTGTATTCCCCACTTGCGTTTCTGCTTGCACAAGATCTCATCCAACCAATTTCTGGACACTACTATACGTACAAAGGAAAGTACTAAATGTTGCACGCAATCGTATGCAAGCAGAACTCTGCTAAGTACATTTATGTTTTTGCGTGTGCATCAGTGGATCTGAGCCAATATAATGACGGGGGTGTGTGTGTCAATCACCTGGAAGGCCCTTTGCCATGTTAAATATTACATATATGTTGAGCTATTATACCTCTTCAGGCACTCCTAGTCTTTTTGCAGGAATCTTTGAAACTGAGTTTTTAAACATTGTTTCACCAGCTTCTTTGTAGTTTGCAACAGCAGTTTCTGAAAAGATCACTCCCTGCGTTGAAAGGAAAGGTCCCATTATTATTCTACACAACAAAAGAAACCCCACCACAAATTTTTAAAAACTGATGACCTACACATTATACATAGTAGATGCTTAGCAGTGCAATCCTCAACAGAGTTACACGTTTCTAAGCCCAAGGGCTACCCTACTGAAAAACAAGAAATATTCCAGCTATAAAATACAGGTATTTTTACACAAAATCCCAGCTTTCTTCAATTTGTTTAATACTCATTCATTAGTAGAACTGTGAATATGCCATAGATCCACACAAACACAGAAATTGGTGGTGGGCTCACAATAAGGATCTTGGCATTGTTGCAGATCTGATTCTTTTTTTGCCCCTACAACTGTGCCAATGAATCCACCTCAATGAAGTAATTTAATTTCAACTTTAAAATCTTCTTTCTCCTAAACTTAATTTATATAAAAAATAATTTACAGCAGATCTCTACATGCTTTGTGAATTTCAACAGATTAACTATGAAGAGATTTTGCCCTCAAATTCCATTCAAAGACATCCCAAACTCTTTGTGTTTAGTCTCAAAACTCTTGATAGACTCCAATAATCATAATCAACTGCACATCCAGCATTTGAAAAACACACTTGGTTCCAAATCAGCAATCAAGCTAAGGCATACAACCAGACCTTATCTCCATGTTATGAAGTCCTTCCTTGGGTTATTTCCCATTCATGAGGACTTTCAATCAGACAGGAGCTGTAAATTTCCAGCAGGGAACAGATTTTGATCAAGACCATGCCATGCATTGAGAACGATCCCCACTGTACCATTCTCCAATTTGAAAAGGCCCCTGGGGGTGCTATTTGACTAGTTGCAGAAACCTATGTGTACCCCATCAATCCAATAGGAGCAAAAATCACTCCTCCGAAGATATTTCTGGTCCAGAAAATGGCACGGGGAAAGGCATAAGCCCCTTCTCCCCATCTGTCATGGACTCAGTCAAAATCAGGTCTTGCCACCTGGGAGCTGAGTTCTCAGAAGGAATTCACAATTCACATCTGATTCAATGTCCTTGTGGTGGTCCTGGACACAGACAGAGGACTTTTTAATATGTAGCTAGCACCACCCCTTTGAGAGACCAAAAGTGTTTGAGCTTGTCTAGTCATATTCCACTACCTACCGGAGCAATGGAGTTAATTCTCACTCCACTCTTGGCCCATTCAATGGCAAAACTTTTGGTCAAGTTATCAACTGCAGCTCTTGCTGCACCAGTGTGCCTGTGAAGAAAGAAGGTAAAAAAAATGTAATCACTTCCATCGATAAGGTAATTTAGGCATATGGCAGCTCTGTCAATATTGGAAGCTTCATTACCACAAAGTGGGCTGATGATATCTAGCAAATTTAACTGCGTCAGACTCCAACAAGTAATCTACATCTTAGATTGTCATGATTAAGGAACAATTCAATGACAAGACAGGCAAGGCAAGATTATTTACCAGCCCAGAAGGTAATCTGCAAGTATGTTGCCCAGCAAGGAGATTTGTGCTCTCTTACGGACATAAATGAACTCGGTGTAAAATGTGCAAAGGGGACTCTGATGTAAGGTGACCAGATTGTGATGCCAGACATGCACCAGCAAGAGCCTGAGACGATGTTTACGTGGTTCCCGAGGTTGCCCTGTTCCAGACGTACTCTTAGACACATGAAACACTCTAAAACAGCCATCTGCCATCACTGTTTAAACTAAGGACTCCCAACACCATTAATTTTAATAATTAATTTTAATCATTGATTTTAAAGAAGTCCCAATGCCTTCTTCATCACGCTGGCAGCCCCCCGCCCCCTTCTCTGCATGGAGAGGCACAAGAGACCCCGCCTTTCGCTTGACAAAGGACTTGGCCTTCCTCATCCATTTCAGGAACCAGTTCTGCAGATCTGAGACAAAGAACACAATAGGTGCTAGCCGATAAGTCATAACGGCCCTCAAGGTGTCTCTGTCACAAGTTAAGTTAGAATTCAATGTTGACCAAACCATAAGCCCTTTTCCCATTGCGGACGTGACTTCTGGAACGGACCACCAAGGGGTGGTCTCAAGGGAGGTGGCCAGCAAAGCCCTCCACTCAGAGCCCCCCATACAAAATTGGGCACCCAGCAATGTGCTCGTTCTTTCCATGCTCCCCGCACTCTCTACGCCCCCTCTTCGCCCTCTATACATCCTTTCTGGCTCTTTAAGCTTTTAGCTCTTCCTATCCTGAACCTATGCTGCCTCTAAGACTCTTGGACTGCAGCCAGAGTCTTCCACGTGCTTCTGCCGGTTCAGAGCACAATTTCCATTTCCTAGCAGAATTCTCATTCCTTATTAGTCTCCCTTATTTTTCCACTGAGATGCATCATCTCATCAGGACAGGTAAATATTGCCCCCAATGATCTCCTGCTCATGCGAACATCTCTTGATTGTCTATCTAATTTTCCTAGAAGCTGTATAATTGTGTGTGTGCGTGTGTATTGTTTGTGTGTGAAGAATCTCCAGTAAATGGAAAACATTTTTATACTGAAGTCAGCCTCCGTGTCTATTTCTGGTATCTCTGGAAGAAGCGGGACCTCTGTATATACAGGTGTTTGTTCCCTTATTGCCTATTGTCACTTTATAATATCACATGTTCCCCAATATTGATAAGAACTCAGAGCAACCAGGCTAACAAGTAGTCTCATTTATGTGTGGAACTGTGAATGGGTATGGTGAGTGAAAAGATGATTGAAGCCCCATAGTCGAGAACATGGTTTTTGGCACGTGATATCAGGCAGGAGAGATAGGACTGGAGTTTGCCTATTTCATTTTTCTGTCCTAATTGAAAATTAACAGAATGCAAACAAGAGTACTCCCTTCTGACTCTCCAAACTACATACTTGCTAACAAATTACAGAATTCTAACTAAACTCCAAAGGGCAGCCTTTTCCCTGTTAGGGCTCTCCCTTTAGTACTCTTGAAACAAAGCTACTCTGCAATCCAGTAGAATCTAGATCCACACAGCTCTTACTCTAGCACTGTTGCCACAATAATTCTGCAATGCCCAGCCTCACAGTAAATACATTTACTCAAAATTAGGACTCACTTAATTGAAAGGGACTTACTCCTTAGACAGCACCTCCAGGAGTGCAGCTGTTAATCAGTCTCCCCATTTGGTGTTTGGTTTTTTTTTCTTCCTTGTGTCTCCTATTTTTCCTCACTACAAGCCCATTTATTAGTTATTTCCTGACCACCACATGCAGATTTTACAACTTAATTAATCTTGCACATCTGCACTGATTTTAAAGAAGAAGAAGAAATTGGATTTATACCCCGCCCTTCACTACCCAAAAGAGTCTCAGAGCAGCTTACAAGCTCCTTTTCCTTCCCCTCCCCACAACAGAAACCCTGTGAGGTCGGTGGGGCTGAGAGAGCTCTTGACAGAAACTGCTCTTTCCAAGGACAGCTCTTATCAGAACTATGGCTTGCCCATGGTCATCCAGCAGGTGCAAGTGGAGGAGTGGGGAATTAAACCCGGTTCTCCCAGATTAGAGTCCGCGCACTTAACCACTATACCAAAATGTCAAAAAGTGAACCCCACTCCTCAGATGGCCTGATTCAATTTCTTTGCTTTCATCTCCAGAAAAAAGAAACATGGTTGCTGCTGTTGCCATTTCCAAGGAGAGAGTTGGACATATGCTGCTTGATGTGACACAGGCAGTTGGGACATATGGACTATGAACAAGGGAAGAAGGTAGTCAGCAGACTGGGAGAACAACTTGGAGAAATCTACAGAGAAATTGTAAATATAATTCCTGAATCATCCTTTCCCCTCAAAATATGGTTTCTTTTTTGGGGGCCCCCCAAAGGGGATTTTTTAATTGCATTTTATATAAGGACTACAAACTACAATGAAAATGGGGAGGGGAAACTACAAATAAGGAGAAAGAAAAGATAACCACTACTACCTAAAAACCCAAGAGTGGAGATCATCAAATTTGCTTGTACACAAAGCAATCTCTTTAAACGCTAACAATTTTATGAACTTAGTCAGATATGCTAATATAACTTTCAAATCTTAAATTTATCTGTTGTAAAAAGACCCCTAAGCATCTCAATGTAAACTACAATATTTTCAGAGTCCTTCAGCCTTCATTTTTTCTTATCTTGTCTTTTCCGCAGTTTGTAAGGACTTTTAGGAGCCGCCACCCCTTTCTCAGAAGGAGAGTCCTCTCCAGAAGACCCTGAGTCCAGCTCGCCACTGGACTTACTGTCCTTCTCCTCTTTATCCACTTCCTCTGCCTCACCCAACTGGATTCTCAAAAAGTCCCATGCTTTGGAAACATGCTTTTCTTTTTTTGTCCTGGGGTTTTAAGGTTACGCCCTCTGGATATAACCACTGATAGCTAATTGCATTTGTTTGAAGAAAAAGAATTAAATCTTTATATTTCTTTCTCCGTTGTCTTATTTCAAATGGGATATCTTTCATAATCCTGATGGTACTGTTCCCGATTTTCAAGGGTGTCCCCGCCGTCGCTCTCATGATAGAATCCCTCATGTGCCTCTTCGAGAATCTCATTACTATTTCCCCAGGCAGATTATTCTTTTTTATGTATACGGAATAGAACCTATAGGCCACATCCATTTCACTCATAAGATACTCCGCCTTCAGATCTGTCACTGGGGCCAGTGCTTCGCTCATCATTTGCTTCAGATTCTCACCCTTAGTCTCTGGGACACCTTGGAAACGAAGGACCAGGTTTGCCTTCTCCATTTGTAATTGTAAAAGCTGTTCTTCTGTAGAAACTTGCTTCTTTTCCAATTTTTGTACCTTTTTCTTCACCTTTTGGGCAGTGGTGTCAATTTCTTTCACTTTCTCAGCTGTTTGTTCCGTAATTTTAAGAGTCTCGTTCAATTGTGTCTGCTGAGTAGTGATACATTGGTTCATTGTTGACAGCTGTTCCCTGAGATTATTCATCTGGTCCAGCAGGGGGCACAGGGACTCCGCCAACGTTTTAGCCAACTTGGTGTTTTTTCCAGTCGTGGACTCTCAACTACTTTTGCTTTTGAAAGTTTCTCCTTCTCCGTCCTCTTCCCTGCCATCTTTATAGACTGTTTACCTTCACCAAAATTCTTAAAGTCTCTTAATATGCGCTCATACGCTCCTTGGTAAGGCTTTCCCAACAGATTTGCCACTTTTACTTCCGCTCCCCCGTCTCGCTTTTAAGTTTATGCGTATGGGAGGGGCCCCTCCCCCGCTCGCTTTGCTTTCTAGTCCGTGGGGTGGGGAGCTTTCTTTTTAACTTAGCGAATACGCTCTAGTCCGACTCACGTTCATATTTGGTCATCCGACCTCGCAAAGCCTCTGTTTTAGCCACTCAATCTCCAGTGCTTGTCCCGGTCAGCGTCACCAGTTCCGTTCGGACACTCAGCAGAGGGACCGTCGGGATGGAGAAGCGCCTCGATTCCCCAGCATTGCGCTAGTGAAGAGGCGACCTCTCAGAAGTCCCCTGGCCAGGAGCCTTTCGCCAGGCTCCTGGGAGGGGTGCGATGCCTCGCCCCCCCTTTCTGCTGGTGCGCAGCTTCACCCCCGGGAGGTCCGGGAGGTGCATCTGCTCAGCACGCTGCCATAAACCAAAAGTCCAAATTTGCTTTTTATTAACATTAAATTAGGCTCCCAAGCTGCAATTTGGCCAAACTTGATTTATAGGATCCAAGTTACGGCCCCCAAAGAAGGTACCCCCAGGAAGGTGCTTTCTGGGGGAATTGCAGGCGCAGGTTCAGGAGTGTATAGAATGGATCCTGTGCAAGCTAGAGACATCAGATTCGCAGGGGACTTCCCCCAGATGCTCCTCTACATGCTTTCCAAGTTCTGCTCCTCCTATTGCTTTGAAGTTTGGTAAAAATTTAGATTAAATGGAGACAGTCTTTCTGGAAATGTATCCATTCATGAATGCGCACAAACCACTATGATCTGCTTGAAAATTCATGGAAAGTTCATGCTGGTTGACCTACCATGAACTTCAATTCATGAACCAGTATTCAGTTTGTGAACCACAAACAAGCTAAAATTAATCATGAACTTTAGTTCATGGTATGACTTTAGTAGATGACAGCAGAAAAGAATTCTCCCCCTCCCTTTCTCTACTCTTTTTGTACTCTTCCCTTAGACACTGTAGTTTAGAGAAATATGGTACTAGATGTGTTTGGGTTGTGCCAAGCAGGGGTTATTTCATAGAAAAAGAGGTGCAGGAGCTCATTAGCATAACTCATTAGCATAACTTATTTGCATATGCCACACCCCCTGACATCACTGGAAGTGTGTCAGAAGGCAACATCCACCACTCAGGCTCCACTGGACTGTTTTGTATTGCTACCTATTGGGGTGGGGGGGAAATGTGCAGATCTGTCCTTGCAGAGGAGGGAGAGCTTATACCTGAATAAAACTTGGTCTTAAAGGTGCCACTGGATTGTTTTGGACCAGGGGGCTGGGGGGAGCTCTGCAACTTACCTGGCTGCTTCTTGCTCTGACTGAGGGCTGCTAGGAGCAGGGGGATGGGCTTGCTGTATGTGCCCGCCCCCTGGGCTCTTTACTGCCGGAGCTCTGCTCCTGTGCACTCCTGCAAGAAATGACCCCTGGTGCCAAGTCTAGTGACTGTCTTGTAGGCATAATCCAGACATACACATCGGGACAAGGAATTGGAAAGTAATCCCATATACCCATT